AAAAAAAAAAAAAAAAAAAAGCTAGTCATTATTGGAAAAACACTTTCTTGAGTGTGTCTAAATTCAGATTTACATCAGACTTTTCACCCTTAAAAGTCTGTCTCTACTAAAAACAACAAAATTAGCCTGGCATGATAACATGGCACTGTGAGTCCTAACTACTCAGCAGGCTGAGGCAGGAGAATCTTGAATCCAGGAGGCAGAGGTTGCAGTGGACCAAGATCTCACCACTGCACTCCAGCCTGGCAACAGAGCAAGACTCATCTCAAAAAAAAAAAAAAAAAAAAAGTCTGTTTTTGGCCAGGTTGTGGTGGCTTACGCTCTAATTCCACATTTTAGGAGGGTGGAACCGGAGATAGCTTCAACACCAGGAGTTCAAACCGCTGGAACATAGCAAACACCATCTGTACAAAATAAGAGTTACAAAAATTAACCAGGCATAGTGGCATGCACCTTATGTCCCAGCTACTTGGGAGGCTGAGGTGGGAGGAATCACTTGAACCCAGGAGGGCAGAGGTTTCAGTGAGCTGACATCATGCCACTGCACTGCAGCCTGGGTGACAGGGCGGAGATTCTGTCTACAAACAAACAAACTTTTGTTTTTAAAACAAAAGTTTTGGACTAGGGAACAACAAAGAAAACAATACATGAATGCATGTATTAAGAAACTTGCAAGTTTCCTTGTATGATGAGCAATATTAGTCTTGAGATTTATATTGCAGTTTGCACTCTGTGCCCTGAAGTTTTCTTTTTTTTTTTTTTTTTAGACAGAGTCTTGCTCTGTCGCTCAAGCTGGATTGCAGTGGTGCGATCTCGGCTCATTGCAACCTCCGCCTCCCAGGTTCAAGTGATTCTCCTGCCTCAACCTCCTGACTAGTTGGGACTCCAGGCGCCTGTCACCATGTCCGGCTAATTTTTGTGTGTTTAGTATAGACGAGGTTTCACCATGTTGGCTAGGCTGGTCTTGAACTCCAGACCTCAAGTGATCCATCCGCTTCAGCCTCCCAAAGTGGTGGGATTACAGGTGTGAGCCACCTCGCCCAGCCAATGCCCTGCAGTTTTCCGTTTTATGACAGTAAAAATAACTATTTAGCCTCTGTTCATTTTATTGCTTTTCTAAAAGTGCTTATTATGTAAGTTGAATTGATAGAAAATATTGGAAACATTCTTACTATATTCTCTGAAAAGTGGATAGAGGCCAGGCATAGTGGCTCACACTTATAATCCTAGCACTTTGGGAGGCTGAGGCAGGCAGATTGCCTGACCTCAGGAGTCTGAGACCAGCCTCGGCAATACGGTGAAACTAAAATGCAAAAAATTAGCCGGGGCGTGGCAGCGTGTGCCTGTAGTCCCAGCTATTCAGGAGACTGAGGCAGGAGAATTGCTTGAACCCGGGAGGCAGAGACTGCAGTGAGCCAAGATCATGCCACTGCACTTCAGCCTGGGTGACAGAACGAGACTCCATCTCCAAAACAAAAAAAAAGTGGATAGAAAGCCAAACATGGTGGCTCACACCTGTAATCCCAGCACTTTTGGGAGGCTGAGGCAGGCAGATCACTTGAGGCCAGGAGTTCAAGACTAGCCTGGGCAACATGGTAAAACCCCATTTCTACGAAAAATACAAAAAGTTAGCCGGGTGTGGTAGCACACGCCTGTGGTCCTATCTCCGTGGGAGGATCACTTGAGCCTTGGAGGCAGAGGTTACAGTGAGCCAAGATTGGGCCACTGCACTCTAGCCTCAGCGACAGCCAGACACCCTGTCTCAAAAAAAAAGAAAAAAAAAAGGTGGATAGAACCTTGCTGAACTTTACATTGAGTTTTAGAGACTGAGAGGCATGATCTATTTTGAACCAGAAAAGCAAAGATATTTAAACAAAAGATTTATTAGCTGAGCATGGTGGCACGCACCTTTAGTCCCAGCTACTCAGGAAGCTGAGGCAGGAGGATTGCTAGAGTCCAGAAGTTCAAGACTGCAGCGAGCCATGATTGCACCACTACACTCTAGCTGTTGTCACAGAGTGGGACCCTGTCTCAAAAATAAACAAACAAACAAACATATTATTTAGTGCTGAGTCCAGATCCAGCAATTGTTATAGTAGCTAGGCATTAGCTCATAAAGTTTTTTTTTTTTTTTTTTTTTTTTTTTTGGAGATGGAGTCTTGCTTTGTGCCCCAGGCTGAGTGCAGTGGCGCGATCTCGGCTCACTGGCAAGCTCCGCCCCCCCGGGTTCACGCCATTCTCTGCTCAGCCTCCCGAGTAGCTGGGACTACAGGCGCCCGCCACCTCGCCCGGCTAATTCTGTATTTTTTTTTTAGTAGAGACGGGTTTCACCGTGTTAGCCAGGATGGTCTCGACTCCTGACCTCGTGATCCGCCCGTCTCGGCTCCCACAGTGCTGGGATTACAGGCTTGAGCCACCGCGCCCGGCCAGCTACATAAGTTTTAAGATGTAAAGGCCTACCAGACTTGATTCAGTGATGTTTTACATATCAAAGCACCATTTTGCTTAGTAAATCTCTTTCATCTTTTTTTTTTTTTTTTTTTTTTTTTTTTTTTTTTTTTTTTTGAGACGGAGTCTCGCTTGTCGCCCAGGCTGGAGTGCAGTGGCGCGATCTCGGCTCACTGCAAGCTCCGCCTCCGAGGTTCACGCCATTCTCCCGCCTGCAGCTCCGAGTAGCTGGACTACAGGCGCCCGCCACCACGCCCGGCTAGTTTTTGTATTTTTAGTATAGAGACGGGGTTTCACCATGTTAGCCAGGATGGTTCGATCTCCTGACCTCGTGAGTCCACCCGGCCCTCGGCCTCCCAAAGTGCTGGGATTACAGGCTTGAGCCCGACGCGCCTCTTTCATCTTTTAAGCCTAATAGACTTGTGGTTTCCCTTATGGTACATTTCCTAGCTGAATGACCTTGGATAAATAACCCAACTCTTCCGTTAGCATCTATTTCTTCTATTAAGATAAAGGGGTAATAATATCTACTTTGATATAGGGATGTCAAAATTAGAGATGTTGAAAAACAATACTGGTACATATAAAAGTACTCAGTAATTGGTACCTCTATTAAAATTGTCTTTTCTTTTTTTTTTTTTTTTTTTTTTTTTTAGGACGGAGTTCTGCTCTGTCAGCAGGAGCTGTGGTGCGTGCCAGATCTCAGGCTCTTACTGCCAA